TATATATATATATATATATATATATGTATATATATATATATATATATCTGCAAGGAATGATATGTATGTAATAAGTAATAACCCTGATTTTGCGAGTTGACAATTGTGTTTCTTTTAGCTATTTGAGCTGAAGACTAGAGATGTATGTAAGAAGAAAACACAATTACTTGACTAATCGTTATTGACCATTGTTTTTTTCGTTGCTCAAAGGACAAATAAATACTTCATTCAAGTGAACATATTATAAGAGAAATTAAAATATTTGTATTTTAAATTTTCGTATTGATCCAATTTCCTTGTCTAAACTTGTTTCTAGTTTGAATATTAGAATAAGAAATATCTTTTTATTTGAATTTGAATTAGAAAACTACCCTAATCAGATCTTATACACTTTGTATATATACTCATTATTATTTAATAGAAAGGCTAAGCCATATTTTCCAAACTCAAAGAGCGTCAGAGCAATAATAATAATGGGGAGAAAAAGATGCATCAATACAAGTGTCAATAGGTGACTTTCCTCCAAAAGGACCCGATAAATTTGAGCAAGATCAATAGGCTTTACGTGAAAGTTTTGGATAATTGTTTTCCTTGGACGACAATTGACATAGTGTCGTTTCTTTAATATGTGGTGATTAAGCACTCTACAGTATTGCTCCATCCGGTAAGAATGGGCAACACAATGCATCTTGGAGTGTTTTTCACAACAATAATGCGTAAAACATTGCTTGTTCCTTTCTTCTGTAGAATATGCCTGTTACCCTTTAATATGTCTCTTTTTGAATTTTTAAGTGATTTATTTTTATACATATTGTTTCTTATATGTTGTTATTCATATTTTACCTTATAAAAATTTCAATTACAACTCAATACGCTCATCGCACATATCTAAATTAGTACTAAACTTATAACAACTTCACCAGCGACAACTTCAACTTTCAAGTAAAGAAGCATGTTTAGTTTGTTAATTCAAATTTTTAATTTGAGTTGAGATGTGACTTTATGTGAAAAATTTTTACTGTAGCAAAGAAGTTATGTGTGATTGTTTAGAGTGCTTTTTACTGTAACAAAACTCGAATTCTAAATTCGAATCGGTAAAATGAATAGAACCTATATCTAAATATTACGATCTGAAAAGGGTTCACCGACTCAATTGGTAAACATAATTCATAGCATCTAATTTGCATTTATATATAAATACATTATATATGTGTATATATATATATATATATTTCTTTTTTTCCTTTTACGGCAGTGAATATGGTGGATGGCGCCAGAACAAAGACAAATTATGAGATTCTAAATATATATATATATATATCTGTGTGTGTGTGTGTGCATGTCATTTAGTTGTGAGAGATTGTCGTTTAATACCCTTTGAAGTTTGAACTTTAATTGAAACCCGAGATGAACATTAATTGAACATTTATCAACACCTATTTAGTTCCTAATTGGAACCCAAAAAATAGTTGTCAAGCCATAGAAAAAGTGGAAGCTGGAATTTTACAGATGGAAAAAATAAATAAATATTAGGGTGACGTTTGTTTCAAAGATTCTGCATGATTCAAATCATAGTTCTTGATTGCTATAGTGTTTTTCTGTCAAAAAAATTTGAATTTCAAAAATTAAAATCATGAACCATGATTTGAACCCATGAACCAAACGGATCCTAGATTATGTTATCATCTTCACTTGCTTGTCAGTAGTCTTTATTCACCTTCTCCAACAATCTAATTACACTAAAGTTGATATGCATGTGACTTTACTTTTGACCGTAGATTACAAGGAACATATTCCTGATCAATTTTGTTCAAATGGACTCTTTTATATTAATATACCATTTGAGGCAAGATCAATGGTATACATAGTACGCACCCATTAAAAAAAAAAAAAAAAAAAAAAAAAAAAACAACAACAACAACAATAACAATGGAAATAAGGAGTAGTGAGGAAGATGATACAATAACAAGGCTTTACGAGGCATCAATAGAAGGGTCAGTAGTCACCTTGAACTCGTTGATCCGAAAGGACCCATTAATTCTGAGTAAGATTTCACTCACCACTTTCACTGAAACTCCCTTACACATCTCAACTTTGCTAGGCCACCTTCATTTCACCAAACAGCTCATTGCTCTCGAACCAAAACTCACTTTCGAGTTGGACTCCCTCAAACGGTCGCCACTTCACTTGGCTTCTGCCAAGGGCCACACCGAGATAGTCCAAGCATTGCTGCAACAAAACCAGGATCCTGATATCATGTGCTTGGCAAAAGATGAATGTGGCAGAATACCTCTCCATTATGCAGCCATGAGAGGCCATGTCGACGTGATTGAGCTACTCGTTAGCGCACAACAGAGGTCGATTTTCGAAGTACTTCCTGATGGAGAAACAGTTCTCCACTTGTGTGTTCAGTACAACCATTTGGAGGCTCTCAAGGTGTTGGTGAAATCAGTTGGTTATCACAATGCAGACTTCCTCAATTCAAAAGAGCATACTGGAGGAAACACCATTTTGCATTTAGCAGTCATGCTAAAGAAAACTGAGGTAATTGACCATTCATCGGATCCTATAGATTTCTATAACGGGCATATCTGAATGTTAAATTCTAGAGAAATTTTTAAGAATGCCACCAAAAAGATAAAACTATTATATTTTTTCCATCAATTTCAAAATTTATCATCTATGATATTGATATTTTAAGAGAATATCTTTCATCTTCTACAGAATATTTTTTTTCTACACGATATTTTAATAATATTCTATCAGAATATTTTTTTTAATGGCATGAATAATAGAATGATGGAATAAAATGGTTATTCTTGTACTTTTCTCTAAATTCTATTATTATCATAAAAAATGCACGTTCTCATTTTCAGTAATACTTAATCAGCCTAATTAAATATGATTAATTGACACTTTTTACACTAATTAGCATCGTCATATATACAAATTCTGCAGATTGTTAAGTACTTGTTATCGATACCTGGTGTAAAAGCAGCAGCAGAAAACACCCTCAACAACAAAGAACTCAAAGCCTCAGACATGCTAGAGCCCTTCCCGCCAGACTTCAAAGCCCTTCAAATCCAACGGATCCTCACGAACGCCGACACAGGAATCGAAACCCGAGAAAAGCTCCGAGATTGTGATCATCTCAAGATCAGCACACCAGAACCAACGACCAAGCCGTCCGTAATCGAGAACAAATTATCCAAGTGGTGGAGAAAATGGGTTAAACACGTGAAGTCCGAGGGCACGATTTTGACCCAAGAAACGCACAACTCGCTAATGGTGGTGGCGACGGTGATCGCGACGATAACATTCCAGAGTGCCGTCAATCCTCCCGGCGGGGTGTGGGATAACAACCGTAACAGCACTAAAAACCCGAGGTTCCGGTGCAGCGAAAGCGACATATGCATCGCCGGAACCGCCGTGTTCGGATACGCCGACGACTTCAGAGACGACTACAAGACTTTCATAGCGTACAACAGCGCGTCGTTCCTGGCGTCACTGGGCGTGATTCTTCTCCTGATCAGCGGCGTTCCGATGGGGAACAAGTTCGGCACGTGGATTCTGACGGTGGCGATGTGCGTGGCCCTCACGTTCATGGCGCTCACGTTCCTCCAAGGCTTGTACTTGGTCACGCCTGATGACATCATCAAGCCGGTGCTTTCGATCGACAATGTGTCGTTTTATGCCTGGAGTATACTTCTTGGGCTCATCGGGCTGTTCCACTCGGTTCGGTTTCTGTGTTGGGTTTTGATTGTTAAGAGGTTAAGGCCCGACAAGCTGTGTTTGTTGGCGCTTGCTAAGAGATTCAAACGGCAGTTAGAAATTTGCTAAGGTGCAGAGATTGTTCATGTTTATGAGTTGACAATTGTGTGTGTGTATGTGTGTTTTTTTTTTTTTTTAAGCTGTGTGAGCTGAAGAATAAAGATGGACAATAAGAAAACACAATTACTTTAATAGTTATTGTCTTGACCATCGTTTTTTTTTTTTTTTCTTGGTAAATAGATACTTCATTCAAGTGAAAATTATGCTCTAATTTATGGTTAACCCTTGTAAATTGTAAGCATAGAATCTGTACATTACACTGACAGAGAGATATATGTCTCTCGATGTTAGCAGTAATAACTGATTTGGTTAATTAGTTAGAGCTTAATAGAATAGCTGATAGTTAGTTGTAACTAGTGTTTTTAATTAGTTTCGCAATTACATGTGTTAGCCAACGATTGGTTAACTTAGCAACTTGTAGCTGTATTTACGTTAGATTTCTCTGTACAATTCATTTAATGAAGAAGTGAAAATTCATTCAGAATTCTTAAGAATTTCTCTTTCTTAATTCTCTCTCTCTCTCTCTCTCTCTCTGGAAATCATTTATTCCCAAATGCTATCGCTAGTTAATATTTGCCAGTCATATGAATAGCAGCGGAAAATAGCGAATGAAACAAGCACTACTAGAAAACATATTACGAAATAAATAGAAAAGATTTTTTAATCTTCTACCAAAATAAATAGAAAAGATTAATTAACATTTTAACTGTTCTTTTTAGACTATATTTTAATAATAATTAATTCTGATAAGATTCTAAATTAATTTTCTCGATTAGTACTTGTTACTCTTGTAGAAAATTTTCATGCCCATACTGGAGGAAACTCCATTTCGCATTTAGCAGTCATGTTAAAACAAATTGAGATAATTAACAATTCATCCGATCTTATAGATTTCTATAACGGGTTTCGAATGTTAAATTTTACAAAAAAAAATTATGAGTGCCATCAAAAGGGTAAAACTATTTTATTTTCTTCATCAATTTTAAAATTTATCATTTATGCCATTGATATTCTAGTATGATATATTTTATATTCTATCAGAATAACAAGAAGGTTAGTCTTGTAATTTTTTCTAAATTCTGTTATAAATACATATCAGATTAAGCAGACTGGCACAATTAAAAATATTTTTAATGCTCTTTACTCTTGAGTAATGTCAGATTATTTAAATTACTTTTGAATGGTGATGCTCTGATAAGGTGTTGTGCCCAAAGATTCACAATGAAAAGGGCAGCATAATCAATATTTAGCACATATATAACGTACCAACAAAACATTTTTGTATACTATATCAAAAAAAAAAAAATTTCTAATTAAAATCATAAAAGTTTTGCATCATACGGATAGTGATTAGTGAATGTCTTTAAGCTTCCGTTAGCTAGTGTACATACTGTTGATCATATCATATCATAAAAAGTGCAAGTTCTCTTTTTCTGTCGTACTTAATCCGCATAATTAGTATAGTGATCAGTAAAAGTCTTTAAGCTTCTGTTACCTAGTGTCCATACTGTTGATCATATCATATCATAAAAAACGCACGTTCTCATTTTCAGTCGTACTTAATCCGCAAAATTAAATATGACTAATTGGCAGTTTTGACACTAATTAACATCATCATATATACAAATTCTGCAGACTGTTAAGTATTTATTATTATTACCCGGCCTAAATTGTTTAACCTGAACATGACATTAGGCTCATGGCTTTTAAATATATATTTTACATTATATATTTTAAAAAATGAGATAAATACCCCGTAGAGTGTATGTGTCGAGATTTTTACCTTTTATAATTGTTGTTCTCATGATCGTATGCTCTTATTTGCTTGATTTTGATACATGTTATCATATTAATTTAGCATGTTATAATTTTTTATTTTTATAATGTACTTAAAAATATCAACAAAAGTTTATAGTTTAAGTGTCAATCTCATGTCCACGAGTAAATTTTATGTTGAGTCGACCTCTAAAGTGACCATATCGTATTTATGTTGCAATTTTCAAAATAAGAAAGAAAGAAAAGTAGAGTCGTAAGTTGTGTTTAAATTTAGTAAAAATTTAGAAAGAAATTACCAAAATACGATACTAACACTTAACACAAATTACCGCCCCTACAATCACATGTAAGTTCAGATAAATTAGTTTCCTAAGACGACAATTGATACTGTCATTTTTCTTAATGTCTGGTTTTTAGGCACTTTATTGCCTTCCCTCAGGTCAGAACTAGTGGGTTATCCGTGCTATTGCACAGATATTTATTTAGTTATTTAATGATTAAATTAGAGTAAATAATATAATAATTAATTACAAAATGATGATTATGTTGTTACATATTTTACAAAAACAGAGTATAGAAATGATATTTAAAAGCTAACACAAAAGATGGTATATGATTAAAGTTCAGTTTCCAAGTTGTGGTGAGTTCATTACATACATATACCTATTTATTTACATATTTGTGTGTATATATATTTACATATATATTTTGTAAGACTTGTTGATTATTCTTCTTTATTTTTTTTCTTCGTTTCCTCAAAGCTGCAATAAAGAAAGACAGAAAATAAATATTAGTCGTTAATATATTCTAAGCGATGGTAATAAACTTTTTTATTTTGAATGAAATAATTGTTTTAATATATAAAGAATAGTATTACCTGATTGGTTTTTTTCGAAGAGCTAATGAAAGAGGTAGACTCAGGTTGTATTGAAACAGGCTGATGGCGATTACTGTAATGTAATAATAATAAATATTATTATATTATAACTGATGTTCTATTAAGCTTTTAAAAAAAGATATGAATAGTTGTTTACGTTGGTTCGACATTCTTGATTGTAAGCAGGTTTGAAACTGATGGGGTTCCTCTCGAGGATGCTGATATTGTTGGAGGTAAGTATGGCAGAAGTTCATTATCGTTGAAAATTTTTAAAATAATTGTGTCAATAAATGCACCTTGATTACGGAATTGGATAACAAATATTTTTAATATTCCTATGATTTGTTCTAGGATGCGAGGAATTATATAGCGATCGGTGTAGCCTTCCTCAAAAGTGAGTGTAGAGCAAGCTTTATTTATGAGCGATTGCATTGTTTTGCCAAACATGCTTACATTTGCTCTTTCTGTGTTATCTTTAATGTGTACATTGATTTTGTACCTGTTTAGAAATAAAAATATGTTTATATTATAATTATAAAAAAAAATTGTTATTTTTGTAATAAACTTTATTACCAAGTAAATGGCATTGTGGATAAATATCTATCTGTATCACACCATTAAGATGTTCTTGATTCTTTTACTTATCTATAACATTTTGTACATACATAATAGATTCATCTTTCGTATGCATCAATTTTGATAATAGTTGCTCTTACTGTGTATCTTTTTTCTTGTAGAATAGAAAAAGAATTTTTTTCAATTCATTTTATATAAATAAGAAATGAAATAAATTATATTTAAGAAATATTTACCTGATTTTGAAAGGGGTCTAACACTCGTAATTCTACAATGGTTATACGATTTATGTTTTTTTGTTCTTCTAATGATATTGTTCATTTTGTTGATGCGGCAATATATTCTAAAATTTGAATTGAATGACGGAATCTGCAAAAGATATATTGAATCTTTCTTCTTTGTATAGAATAATGCATAATAAAATATTGGTTATAGAAAGATTTTAAAAATTTTAAAGTTATTTTTTAAAATATTGATTAATATCATATTTACCTTATATTTTGAATAACGAAACTTCTTCTTTTTACTATTCTTTCACCAATGGTCGATCTTTCACATTATGGAAACATATTAGTCAACCAATGATTCGGAGATCCCCTCTCATGTGGCAGTGGCAACTAGTGCTAAAACTTTAGACGGGCCGCCCGCGACCACCGAAAATCTGAATTTTTACCCGATTACCGAACCCGAATTGCCCGAAAATTTAGGCTGCCCGACCCGACCCGAATTTCTTCATGGATGGGCTTCGGGCAGCAATTGGTTACTCGTGCCCGATCGGGCTGCCCGTTGCTCGACCAACTGCCCGAATTTTTAAAAAAAATTTATATTATATTTTTATATTGTATAATGTGTATATATATATATATTGTATATATATTATAATTTAAAATTTGAAATGAACACACGAACTATATAAAAAAATTATTTCTTTATTGATTTTTAAATTTGTAATTCATGATTTCCTCGTTAAAAACCTTACCAAGAAAAACCCAATTGGGATAAAAACTTGGTACGGAAAAAAGAGTGCAATCATTGTGGGACGAATTACAAATTTGATGAACTTACAAAGTCTATACAAGATTATAATAACACTATACAAATTAGAAATTACAAAGTAAATAAATATTTACAAATTACAATAATAAAATTTAATTTGAAGTAGAATGATCGTCTTGAAAATTAAAAGTTAACCTATTAAATTCGTCAATCCATTCTTAGCTTGCCGGTGAGATTGTATCATGTAAGCGTTAGTCGGAATGGTCTCAATCCTTGATGCACACCAAAGCTTCAACAATATCCTGCTGCAATGCGTTTATCCGTTCTTCAAGTATTCGGCCGGTTGTACTGAATGCTTGTTTGGCTGCAACAGTGGAGACCGGGATCAAAAAAATATCCATTCCCAGTTGTGTTAGGATCGGCCAAGTTAATGCTCGTGCCCTCACTCAACCAAATCAAATATTTCATTACTGTCTACAATTAAGCCCTCACTCAGGTACAACATTAACTCGTTGAATCCGCCGCCACCTCTTGATGAAGATCCACTCCCAGATTCTTCTTGACCTTGAGTCATCGTCTTCTTCTTCTTCTTAGACAACCCGAAAACATTCAAGAATGAATGAGGATTGTCGTCTCGTTGTTGCGGTTCTTCTACACGAGGTGTGTTTCTAAACCTACTTTCGTAAGAGATACAGAGAGAAAATATTTTTTTCCTTTATAATAGGAAATTGGTCAGTAGTGTCGATAGCTAAAAATTCACCTAAGTTATCTAATCCACTTTCTAAACCTTCTAATTTTAATCTAGGGTCAAAAATAACACCAAAACCATACAACATGGGTAATTTAGACCAATATTTTTTAAACTTCTTTTCCATAGAGGCGATAGGAACTCCTAAAACCTCGTGTGTCCTAAATTCACTAAATAAAATAGACATTCTTAAAAGTTCTCCTAACGCTAATGGTGACGTTGAGTAATAAGTTTCACTAAGCTTTAAGGTAACTTCGTGAAATCTACCTAAAAAGTTATACAAGAGTTCGGCATTTTGCCAGTCAGTTTCATCTATAAATCATGCTCCTAATTTTGCACTAACATAATTTGTTATAGCATCTTTATAGGGGATGCATTGTTCAAGCATTATATAAGTGGAGTTCCATCTTATGGGCATATCTAAGGCTAATGCTCTAAGATTTTGATTATATGCTTGTAGAAATCTAAACTAATTTTGTACTCTTTAATTACTGCCTTGAATCCAAGCAATGTTATCTCTAATTCTTTTAATATGACCTAACATTGATTTTACACCAGATTTTACTATTAAATTAATTATATGACATGCACATCATTGGTGAAATATATCATTATTACCGATTAAACTTGAATCATTTTCAAAAAGTTCTATTGCTTTAGTATGTGCAGTTGCATTATCTAATGTTATGACCATTATTCTATCTCTTAAACTATATTCATCAATGACAGATAAAATTGTGTTATATATTAAATTGGCAGTATGTGATCCTATAACACATTTAAAATCTAAGATTCTCTTATCTAAATCAAAACCTTTATAATATTGTCCGGTTACAGCTAAGTAATCTTTGTTGGCAACGGCAGACCAAATATCCGCCGTTAATGCAATGCAACCACTAGTAGAGTGTAGAAGGTTGATTAATGCTTCCTTTTCTTGTTTATATAATTTTAATGCATCTTTCCTAATAGTAGTTCTAGAAAAAAAAATTGTGCATTAGGATTATGTACAATTTCAATATAATGCTGCCAATTTCTTTGTTCAGTAAAACTAAGTGGTTGATCTAATGTGGCTATTAATCGTGTCATTTCCATACGATCAACTTGCGGATCGTATTTCCACGTGCTTAGACCGCCGGTTTGGCGGTCAAACGATAATTGCGTTTGGTGTAGATCGGCTCCGCCTCCTTGCTTTTGAAGACACTTTTCAGAGTGTCTTCTTAAGTGTGTAGTGTCGTGAATAGTGTTACCCTATAATTTCTCACCACAATATTTACATTGAGCTACGTATTTAATGTTACCGTTATTGTCAACCTCCTCGAATGAGTTGTTGTGCTCCTAAACTGCTGAGGTGCGCTTGCAGTTATTCTTAGAACTTGCAACACTTGCACTAGCACTACCGCTTGCCTCTCCTCCATGCCCATCAGTGCCACCACCATTACGTCCATGACCTCTAGTACGTCCACCAAGGGTCAAATTTGCAGTTTCCTCAACAACCCTAAATTCAGTATGCGATTCCTGCGTTTGAATAACATTAGGAAATTGCTCTTCTTTGATGTTGAATTGGGCATCAATGGGAATATCACCACCATAACCAAAAGAAGCCATTATGAAAAATAAGAGAGATTGAGAGCGTTTTGAGAGAGATAAAGAGAGGTCGGGAGAGATTTAAGCGAGATTAAGAGAGATTTGAGAGAGATTTTGTTGTCCCGAATAAGGCTACCCAAGAAGGGGGTGAATTGGGTTTTGAATATTTTTTGAGAGTTTATACGATTATTCGAAGATTAAAAGTAAATATAGACAATTAATTGAACAAGGTACTTTTATCAAACACTTGGTGTACAGAAAATTATGTAAGTTAATGCAATAGCACAACCACTTGATGTACACAGGATGGACCAATCTAATATCATAAAAAGAGTTCAATAAACTTATCACGACGACTTAAACCAATCAATGTCAGCAATCAAATTTAAAGTGCGAAAATTAAAGAGATAGAGTTAGAGAGATGCAAACGAGATTTATAGTGGTTCGACAAATAAATTTGCCTACATCCACTGTCGCCGAGATATTCCGCCTCTCGACCTCTTTCACTATTCGATCGACTTTCCGGCACGATCACTCCTCTTACAAGAAGACGAATCTTTCTACCTGAGGCTTCGCCTAACCTCTTACACAATGTTGATTTTCCACAGAGATCGACCAACCAAGTAATCCAATACCAAAGTAATGCTTATGAGTAGTGAAGCACTTAGTTTTACTCTCCTAACAATGGTTTTACACAATTGAAATCACTAGGAGATGATGAACTCACACTATCACAAGATAATTCAAGGTAGGCTCAATTATGTGTAAGAGAGTTAAGGATTTAGAGAAGATGATGATTATATAGACACAATGGAGAACTCTCTTTTTGATTTTTGAAGCTTTGAATTCGTTCTCTGTTTTTCGCAAAATCAACTGTTGAGAAAAATGACTTTTCTCTATTTAACCTCTCTTGCCAACGGTCATATTTTTGCCCGTTTATCCAGTACCGGTCGACCGAAGCGGTTGACCGGTTGAGACAAATTTGAATTCGTGCTGTTCAACATTCTTATTGAGTGTCTGTTGAACAGAATCGGTTGATCGGAACGGTTGACCGGTTGAGGCATCACCAGTCGACTGGTGCATTTAGCCTTCTCTGTCACCGGACGACGTAGGTCGACCGGTTGACACTTAATTTGCCTCAAATCTTTACATATTTGTACTTTTAGGCCAAATGTCATTATGCACTGAGTTTAGTCTCATTTTTAAAGAATAATGTGAGTGTGTGCATGAGCCTAAACAAGAATTAATCATGATAGTATGGAGTCAAAATCAAATACAAGACTAAGAAGATATTAAAAAACCTATTAGTACTTGTCCAGCTTGATTTTGTTTACTTGCTCTTGATCTTTGGTATTTTAGCACTTCAAGCCTTGAATTCCTTCCTCAATTTGCATTTGTCAATCTTGAATGTATTTGTATTGTATTCTACAAAATGCTTCTTGAGTTGATTTATAACATTAATTACACTAAATACACAACTCAAAATAGAATCATTAGAAACATAATACATTGTGTTTGTGATCATCAAAACATGTGAGTATTCAACCTTGGGCCAACAGATTTAAGAAAGATTGAGAGAAATTGAGAGAGAATGAGAGTTTTTGAGTGGGGAAAATGGTTGGGGGGAGGGGAGTATTTATAGGAAATTTTTTAGCTTGAAAAAAAAAAATTTCTCCCAAATTTTCGGGTCCAACGGCTAGTAAATTTTGGGCAATCAGGTTGGTCGGGCAAAAAATCGGCCAGTCGGGCAACGGTAAAAAAATTAGCCATTGGGGTTTGAATTTTCAGGCAAAAATCGGGCGGCGGTCGGGTTCGGGCAGAAAGATCCGTTTGGGTCAAAAATTGGGCAGAAATCGGGCTAACAGTCAAAAAAATTCAGGCATTTTTGGGCATCAGGCAAAATTCGGGCAACGATCAAAAAAATTCAGGCAAATTCGGGTTACACCGGAAAATTTGAAAAAAAATCTGGTGGATGGCGACGACGACTCCTCCACCGGCATCAGGCAGTCGAGAAATGATCATTTCTGGGCTGCCCGAGCCCATGCCTGACCAGATACAACGGACGGGCGGCAAATGGCACCTGCCCGCCGTGCCTGAAAATTTTCGGGCACCGGGCATGCCCGCCGCCGGAAGTTCCACCACTGGTGGCAACATGGAGGATTCGTCGCGGCCAGATCTGTAAGAAATGAGCCTAAGTCCATCCGCGAATAGTTGATGTTCCATCACCGCTGCACGGAGATCTTTGATTGAGCGTCGCGCTTCAAGCCTTGTCGGTTGCCATAGAGGAGCTGCGAGACTTGCATATCTTCGATTGTCGTGAAGGACCTCGAGCCTCACAAATCTTCCAATTTTCGATCACTGTTGATGGATTTATTCTCATTTGGTAGTCTTTCATCATTTTTCACCGTTTGATTTTTATCTAAATCATAATTGATTCCATACCGGTAGGGGAAAAGTACACCCCCTACAGTAAACTTTCTCATTTTTATTTTATTTTTGACAAAGAAGCAGATCCAACTTTAGTCGTTCTCATCAGCCTATTATCTGAATTCAAGTATGCAAGATAGCCCACCTAACTAAAGAGCAATTATCTGGTATGAACGTCGCAGCTTCTTACATTGTTCGACCAATAATTATTTAATATATGGGATGAATCAGTTCTTTATCTAATTTTTTAAATTTTTTATTGAGCTAATTCTCAACTAAAAATTTAAGAAAAAAAATTTGAGGCTTCTAATATCTAATGTTAATTTGTATGCATGACATTGAAAGGGTTTTAAGTCATTTAATCAGGCCCGTTCTTTTCGCTGATTCGAGTTTAGAATTTGAGTTTTGCTACAGTAAAAAACTCTCAGAAACAGTCACATCTAACTTTTTTGCTACAGAAAAAAACTCTCACACAATATCACATCTCAATTCGAATTAAAAACTCGAATTAACGAACCGAATGAGCCCATCAAAGAAATGATAATAGATAGATTGTATCGATGGTATGGTGAGGCCTCCCGTAGGGAATTACAAACTGAACCTCGCATGGATAGGATTCACACGTCATTCAGTGTAGCTAGCTAGGACAAACGAAACACAAAATCCCAAAATAAAAAAAATAAAAAAAATTAACAAACGACAACAGATTCTTGAAAAACCTAATCCAGAACCGACACGTGTCGGTTTCCCCCTCTCTGTCACCTGTTCCCTCTTTGCCGGTGCCTCTCTTACTATATAAACCTACCATCTCCGGTTACTCGCCTCCCTCTCTCTCTGTACGCTGTTCACACCAAGAAGAACTGATCGTGCCACTCTACTCTCTCTCTTTAACTGTAAATAGATTTCTCCATCTGTACTGATTCTCATCGGAACCTGCGTTTTCTCCGGCGTGATCCGAGCTTTTCCGACCAAGATTCTTCGAAAGATGACGGTGATCATGCTCTTTCCGGTAAGATAGTTCGGTTGATGACTTTCTTGCACAATAACATGTTAGATCGATCCATCGTAGCTCATCCTCGATCCAAAACTTGGTTTCACAGGAGGAAGAAAACGTTAACTCAGTGATTCAAAAGATTTTCTTTTTCTCCAAGTTTATGTGAAATTGTTTGCATCGATTTTTTTCTTTTTTGAGGTTTTTTTTTGGCAAGTGTACAGTCTATACGGTTAGGGTTTCTTGTTTTGGTCTGTGGAGTTTGTACAGATAGGTTGTACATAAAGAAAGTGATAGATTAGGTTAGGGCAAGAAAGTGGATTGACGACTGAACCAATTTTGTGGGGCGTTTGCGGATAAAAAGGTGTTCGACGAATCTAAGACTGAGATCTGATCGAATTTCTTGAAGTCTTTTTTGGGTGCTTGAAAAGTGGCGAAGATGAATTTGCGTTCCGCGGAGGAAGAATCGGCGCAAGAGATTCATGTCCCGGCGGATATAGATTGGCAAATGCTCAATAAATCGAAGTTCTTCTTCCTCGGCGCCGCCTTGTTTTCGGGTGTTTCCGCTTCTCTTTACCCCGTTGTGGTGTTGAAAACCAGGCAACAAGTAGCTCAATCTCAAGTTTCTAGCATCAAGACGGCGTTTTCGCTGGTTAGGCACGAGGGTTTCAGGGCATTGTACAGAGGATTTGGGACTTCTTTGATGGGAACAATCCCAGCTCGAGCCCTTTACATGGCGGCACTCGAAGTCACCAAGAGCAATGTGGGGACTGTCACTGTCCGGCTAGGTCTTCCTGAACCAACGGCGGCGGCCATAGCCAATGCGACTGCGGGGTTGAGCGCGGCAGTGGCTGCGCAGCTTGTGTGGACTCCAGTCGATGTGATCAGCCAGAGACTAATGGTGCAAAGTTGCGGAAATTCGAGACTTCCTAATGCTTCGGCGTGTAAATATCTTAACGGGATCGATGCGTTTAGGAAGATTCTTAACACGGACGGTCCTAAGGGTTTGTACAGAGGGTTTGGGATATCAATTTTGACATACGCGCCGTCGAATGCGGTTTGGTGGGCTTCTTATTCTGTTGCTCAGAGGCTGGTTTGGAGTGGATTTGGTTGTTATTTTGTTAAGAAGGATGACGAGAGTAGCGAGAATGGGGTATTCACGTTTAGACCAGACTCGAAAACGGTAATGGCAGTTCAGGGAGTCAGTGCAGCCATGGCGGGCGGCGTTTCGGCCTTGATCACAATGCCCCTAGACACCATCAAGACGAGGTTGCAAGTTTTGGATGGCGATGAGAACGGGCGTCGCGGACCGACTATTGGACAGACAGTGAGGAACTTGATCAAGGAAGGAGGGTGGACAGCTTGTTACAGAGGTTTGGGGCCTCGATGGGCTTCAATGTCAATGTCTGCAACAACAATGATCACCACCTATGAGTTTCTGAAACGGCTCTCCACAAAGAATCAAGAGGTTTTGACGCACTGAATAATGACAACTGGGGTGTCGGATGTAAAAGAAAAGTGCTTTTTTTCTTTTTTACATCTCAAATCTTTGATCCTTGTCTAATCCTGTAATCTTTTTTTTATGAACTATCTTTCTTCTCTTTTTGGCTTTTTTTTTTTTTCTTCCTTCAAGTTGACTGCCTGCATGATGGGTGATCAATGCAAGTCATTGCAGGTCTCTTTTACATAAATGGAAACAGTTTCTTTTCCTTGCCTGGCGTTATTTCAACTTTGTCTTATCTAGAACTTAAGTTTATGCATATTCATAAAGAAAGCTCGACAGCATGTTGGAAACAAAAATGATTGGACTTTATAATTTTTAAAATATTAATATATCTCTTTAATTTGGAACATAATTACCTATTTAAAAAGAAAGTAAAATACTAATTACACTATTTAAAATAAATAAATCAGCTTTGTATATTTTTTTATATGATTTTGACTAGATTTAAATTAAAGCTTGCACTACCCTAAAGATAACACCTGCCCCAAAAAAAAAAAAAGAGTACGAAGCAATATTGGAAGCATATTTTTTCTCAAAAGAAAATTGTTCAAGCAAGGAAATTTTTGGGGAAAAAAAATTACGGTAGGGTAGTAAAAATGGGTTAATGTCGCAAAATTATATTATAGTGTGTTAGTTATTCGATTGGTTGTCGAAAATTTTATTGCTGGTTAATGTCCCTCACAAGAAAAGAGAAAAAAAAAATCTAGAAAGCAAGCTTAACCCTAAAAAATTACCCGCATCATCTAATGGCATAATAATATCAAATTAAACAATATAACAACTAAAAAAAAAAACTTTATAAAAATCAAAATTAGGTCCACAATTATTTAAAGAATTTTTTTACCCCAGGATAGAAGCTATTTCCTTTGCTTTAAAGTCCGAAGGCTTGCGGCTTACGTACCGTGTGCTAGTCTTTCAAATATATACTCTAGTTTTCCTTTAGACAAATTTTCATTGCTAATCATTATCCCCAATGAATATTTCTAAGACTAGGAGTAGGTAAACTGAATCACCGAGAAGTTCACAGATTATAACGCATTGTCGTCTTAACAATAAACGACGACAGTGCGCTTTCAGGGGTAAAATATATACTCTAGTTTTCCTTTAGACAAATTTTCATTGCTAATCATTAACCCCAATGAATATTTCTAAGACTAGGAGTAGGTAAACTGAATCACCGAGAATTTCACAGATTATAACGCATTGTCGTCTTAACAATAAACGACGACAGTGCGCTTTCAGGGGTGAAAAACGACAGTGCGCTTTCTTCATGCCCTACGCCATCATAAAGACGCAGATTTGTGAGACAATTTTCTATTTAAACATTAAGAGCGCCACAAATGTACTAATAAATTAACAAGGGACCATCCAGAACCTACAAAGTAATCGTACTGTACTAAAATTAGGATTCCCCTTTTTAAAGTATAATTTCACAAGTTTGCACCAATTCTAGGACTAGGAAAGAAAGACTAATTTGCAAATCAGTTAGCAGGCCAGATTCCACCCAGAGAAGAGTACAACTAGAAATACAAATTGTCGTTGGGACGGCCGCATCAGGGGCGAGCTCGCTTATTGCTGCTGCATGATGGGCACTTGTACTGCTTAATATGCTCAGCTCTTGCCGGGGTGATCTTCACACACTTGCCATGGAACCACTTCTCGCAGATGTCACAGCAGATCCAGAACTCATCTGATGCATAATTTTCGCCACATGCCCCACATAATGTTTCACCATGCTCGTCTCCATCTTCTTCGTCCAAGACCTCATCCTCATCCTTTGGCGGCAATGGTTTCGACTGTTTCACTTGAGATTCTGACCCCTTCTGCTTTTTCACCAGGAAAAATGAGAAGCAGATGAAAATATATTGGAAAATAATACCGAGAATACATAGTCCTGAATTATTTTTAACAATAGTAAAAGATGGATGAAATGTCCTCCTCACCTTGGAGTTTGACTTGGATTTGTTGCTACCATGATTTGCTGATGACTTCTCCTTTACTTGTTTCTTTGCAGCACCCGTCACGACTTCAAATATTGTTGGAAGATCATTTATCATATTGAAAAGTCGCTTCCTGCATCACAAAAACGTATTCGTTTTGCTACTTTAATGTGTAGAACTATCAACAACAACAACAAGCCTTAAATCGAGTCAAATAATTTTAATTAGTGACCAAACTGAAGAAAGATAAATTTTAAGTACAAGATAACCTGTCTGTCTTGTCAAATCCAAATCTTGCGCCAAAATAAAAGGCAACAGAAAGTAGCCATGCATCACTGTGGACAGCAACCAAGGATAACCAGTCCTTTTCCTGCATTCCATCTCTCGCAAAGTTAATACCAAGCGCAGGCTCCGGCAGCTCTGGAGGCACCTCTTCGGCGGGTAAGTTAACTTCCCATTGCTCGCTGGGAAATCCATAGAGGCAAAGATTCTCCTTCTCTGCAAGTACAAAATAACTCATAAATAAATTTACAAACAGATTGCAAAAGATTATCCATCATCCATGTGTCCCAAGTTGAAGCAAAAGAACAACTACTTGTAATTCCTATTCAATAGAGAACTTAGCCATCTACAAAATAACTCATAAATAAATTTACAAACAGATTGCAAAAGATTATCCGTCATCCATGTGTCCCAAGTTGAAGTAAAAGAACAACTACTTGTAATTCCTATTCAATAGAGAACTTAGCCATGAAACAAAACTTGATCTAAGAAACATTCTAAAATACGTGAAGGTATAAAAGAAGGATAAAATAAATAAAAATAAAAATAAAAACTTTCTAAGGAGAACCAAGTTGAGACAATAAAATGACTACAAGGACAAATCAATCATGAAACAACTACACTAACACTAGCAGTAAGAGTATCAATAGAAACAAAAACAACAATGGCAATCATCATCTTATATCATCTTACAACGCATGTAGATACGTCTCAGAGTAAAAGCTACTAAGAAGAAGAAGAAGAATACCAGGATCACATTGCTGATAGAAATCTTCAACATCGGCAGCAACAAAAACCAAAGGGTATAAAGCACTACTCAAACTATATATTGGGAAAGCAAAGTTCAAATCACAAGTTTCAACAAGATTTCTAAAGGCATATCCATTATCCAAGTCTAACAGCAAAAACCCACTTCGACCCCGAGAACGTTACATTTGCATTAACAATGTTTTTCTTTACGGAAATTCAAAAATCCTTCCAGATGTATCACTGACCTGCTTCAAAATGAACATGTCAAGGAGAAGAACTAAGCCCACTAATCAAACCGTAAAAAGAACAAAAAAATACAAACAGAAAAATTCACAAACTTTGTACATGCTTTGTTCAACCAATTTAAGCGTGTATGAGAGGGAGAGAAAAACCAAGCTAAAAAACTAAGTGGGTTCCAAAAACAGAACACCTCATATCGGAGACCCAAAACACAAAATTTAGCAATCTTCAAGGCTTTCCCTTTCTGGGTTTTCCTCAGAACAACCGAAAACAGTGGAAGAAATCAAAGAGAGAGTGAAAGAGAGGGACCTGTAGTGAGAGCTTTGATCATTCCAGCTCTACGGCCCTTGAATTCCCTGAAAACCTCTTCGACTGTGCGAGGATTATAGTGAGCTCCACCACCACCACCTCCAAGACCCTCCATTTTCTCTCTCCTCTCTCTTCAACAACTCTGCCTTGTCGTTTGTCACTGTCTGGTCTGGTCTCTCCGGGGAAAAACACAGTCCGAAGTCAAACGGAATTGGAACGGAGAGAGAGAGAGAGAGAGAGAGAGAGTTTTATTAAAAATTAGGATTCAGAAATCTTAGAGAGAGAAATAACCGATAAACCTTTTTTTTTTTTTTAACTTTTGGGGTTTGAGGGAAAG